TGAATATAACCGACAGTTAAACCATGAAATTTTAGGGGTGAGAGAAAGCTGATGATTCACGCGTCCGTAGATCATGCACTGAGATCTGCCACGCAGGATTTTGGAGGGACCCCTTTCACAAAAGCTCGCTCTTTAATGCATCTGGCTTCTCAATTAATGATCTCATAAATACTACTACTTCTCCTAACTCTAAATAAATAGCTGGTCAAAAAAAATAAAAATAAATAAATACTACGTCTCCGTCAAATCAGTTCCCCTCCTTTTGTAATTTTATAGTATAGAGTAAACTATAAATCATACAGGCGCAATATTTTATTTTTTTTCCCCAAACTGCCTGGGATATGGAGTAATTCATAGTTAATACTCTTCCAATCCTTAATGTAAGACACATTTAATTAATTTAATTAAATTAAAAAAATTAGGTAAATTAGTTAATTATAAGAAAAGTGACACATTTTTCCTAAAGCACCATAATCATCTTTTTTAATACCTCCTCTCCCTCTTCTATTTGATTATGGTTGAGGGAGTATCTGTAGGGGTAATTTAGAGAAAATTGATAAACATGATAAATGTGTCTTATATTTAGGATCAAAATCAACTCAAGAATTGGGTCCTATATTAAAGACCGGAGGAGTACTGTATTGTATACATGCATAAATTTTCCTACTAATTTTATGGATGGTGTATAACTATAAGATTCACTTTGTCAATATCAAAACACACGAGTCGTATTAACTATTAAGGTGTATTGATATTAATAATTAATGTCTGAAAGTTTTTATAACCTTAAATTAAGTTTAAAAAGGAGTGTGGTCCATTTTATAAGATTTAATTTAGAGTTTGTAGTGTGGTCCATTTTATAAGATTTAATTTAGAGTTTGTCTAAATATTTAATTTTTTTTAAATTTTGTCTTTAATTATTATTTAAAATCTATAATAAAAATAGAGGGAGTAATAATTATCAATCGAGGGAATCCTAGAACAGTGTTTCTTCCTTGTAAATTGGTGTCCATCCAAATCATCCAGACCCAGTAGGCGCCTAGGCGGCTTCGCTCCATATAGCGTCGCATCAAGCTTCATTAAGATAACTAACAACGGCGACATCTTATCTGCGCCGGGTATTCTTTTATTAACATACGAATAAGTTGTTATTGTTTTATTATTATTATTTCACATTATTGATATAAGAATTAATTAATTAATTTAAATAGATTAAAAAATAATTTAATTATTGTAATAAATAACTGTTATCTTTCTTTAAATATCTTTACTAATTAAATATATTAGTTAAAACTATTATTATTGTAAAGACTGCTTTAAGAATAAATAATGGATAAATATGAAAAATAAACTGAATTAGAATTTTATACTTAAGATTAAAATAAAAGTCAAACAAATTTTTATATTTCTGATTTTTAATAAAAAAAAACTAGTTGATTAATTTGAGTAGATTAAAAAATTTGTTTAGTTAGTTATTTGTAATAAATAAGTATTGTTTTTCTCAGAATATTCTTACTAATCAAATGTATTAATTACAATTAATATTACTACAAATATTATTTTTTTTTAAAAAAAATGTAAAAAACAAAATAAATCAAAATTTTATATTAAAATCAAAATAAAAACTAAATGAACTGTCATGTTCACATATTAGGCATGGGGTTATATGTGTTATATGTACATGTACATACACAGGACGAAATTAAATGAACGTCGGTTGTGTCGTACAACGTTTTCTGAAGTTGTGGCTCTGATCTGTTTTGGAGTTAATCCGCATTAAGAAAACCACCTAATAAGTGTCGCCGGGTGTCCCACAGAGTACAGGTTTAAGTCATCCTATCACAATTTAATACTGCCACCAACCCCATCCCCATCCTGCTCCTTCCTTTTCCATGGGCGACGCAGATGATAGCAGACCTCCATTACTGCACTTCCAAGCTCTAAACTTTCACCACCTGGCCTCCTCAGCACAAAACCCCTATACATCTCGTCACCGATGATCATAATCTTGCTCGGGATCTGGAGCCTTGCCATGCACGTGCTCCTCACATGGGGCTGGTGGATTTTATGACTTTTTTTCGTTTCCATAATAATTGCCTAATTTGGTGTCCTTGGGTCCCCGCTCTCTTCATGCGGACTTCCTGGCTTAGTTATTTTTTTTTCCCCGACCAGCAGACTTCCTGGCTTAGTTGACGTGCGTCTGTGGCTATGTTTAGATTATAGTTTGTAACGGTATTTAGAAAAACATAAAACTGTAATTTGTGACTTATTTAGGATTAAATAGTTATTTGGATGGGGTTAAAAACCCAATCAACTTTTAACCTTCAACCTCAGTTAGACGGAATTAAATATGAATTTTTCATTTTAAACGGTAGTTTCACACTTTCTCATAAATTCTCATAACTGAACTCATTTTCTATTTAATCATCCAAGTAAATTTTAATTTTTTCAAATGAATTTTTATAAACACCTATTTAAATATAAATCACACTACACTATTGATTTTTATTCTAAATTTAGTTATAAAAATCAGTTAGATTAAAAATGAGTTTTGCTAACATCAATTCAAACCCACCTTATATGTACTTGAATGCACTTCTGAAGGGGTAGATGAAACGCTCGTCCTTTAGACATAATTTCCTTGCAGCACTTGTCATCTCCCCAGCCAAATCAGTGAAATTACTTAATTTTTAGTATGGTGCTGGTTGTAAATATTAAGATCGGGTTAATATTTATTCAGTGGTATGTGTGTGCACATGTTAAATCTCCAAGGGACAATAAATGAATGCATATCTCTTAATATTTTCGGCAACTTCATGTACCCCAGGGGCGAAGCAGCGTTAGAAGTGGACGTTTACCTGCTCACAGCCCTCAATAAGCTCACCTTAAGATTAATGCACGTATCCATACATTATTGGATAGAGACAAATAGCCTGCCAACCTTGAAATGGACATGTCCAGGTGTTCAGTGGCCGTATATAGACGTGGAGCCCATTTTTTATGGTAAAATTTTATGTTTTTTGAGGGGCAAAGGGAGTACTGGGACATCCCATGGTGGCAAACGTTCTGCGAAGACTCAATTTTACCTTTTCTAACTATATTCGTTATACTGCGGCCAGCTGCTTGGTCGAGAGTGATCAAGACTGATATCGCAAATCATAACAGCCCTAAAAAGTGTTTAGGAATTACAAAAAAAATACTTTTTAAAAGCATTTTTCTACAAATTGAAATAAATTTTTTTATATATTTATTTCATATATCATAAAACTACTTCTGAAAGTATGGTTTGGTTTCTATCCAAACACTTTTTTAGTCTACTTAGACCCCACCTTCTTCATATATACGTAATACAGAAAAGTAGGCATGACATCTATGAAGTCTATTGGAGCTGTTTATAGGCTATGAATGATGCAATTCACATTAAATATAAACCATAAGCCTACAATATGGTTATACATATAGATAAGTGTGCGCGGAAAACAATTGATTATCATCTGCGCTGATTGAATGATTTTAATTATTGATATTGGGTTAAAAAGGCCACCCTCTTCTTTACCCGAATCACTGATAAGTACCAGTTACTGCATCCAAACAAACTGAGTTTTTACTCGGATTATTGATTGATTATGGCAAACAAATATGGTTTCATCAGAATCTAATTATAAGAAGCGAACTAATGTCGATAACAATATAATTGCGCCAGCATACATGGTCATCATAGCAATAAAATAATCAGGCGTGTGTTTTACATAAAATTTCATGTATATTGGTAATTTGGTATCCTCTTTTTAGTTTTTCTTTCTTTACAGCTTTGGAGATTTTATACTTTTAGTAACAGTCGGCGACAGCAAGGGCAAAACAACCCCTGCAATATGTTGACAGCATGATATAATATTATATTGTATTCTATGCTCTGCACAGAGTTAAATTAAAATAAGTTGCGTTATACATGATTTATAAATAATGCGAATTTTCACATATTTTGGATTATATAGATATACAATACGAGTTGGGACTCGATCAATTTTCTTATTACAGAAATTCATAAAAAGACTATATATAGTATCCCATCCCACCCATTTTCCATACCTCTAGCAGAACAAGATGCATACATGCTCTTTTTTCTTCTCTCAGACTCAGAGAGGGGATCAATGTCTGCGTTGGTAAACTTTATAGACATGCATGGTATAAATTGGTACTTGTTCATCTTATTCTAGATTTTAAAAAAGATAAAGAGCGAAGATGTCCGTGTGTGCATAAACTTATAGTTTAAGAAATGAGTGTCTGGGTTGGCCCTGAATGGACTGTGCTCAGTGTTTATATGAAGTTCTTACTTATCTTTTTATAATTCGACTTACAAAAGACGGAAAGATAATAAAGACACCGCAATTAAGGACCGCTAAACTGTTCTAGCTAACTTATTACGCTCCACGGATATTAGTCATTCTAACTTAGAGATGGATTATACTTTTTAATTAACTCATGCATGAAAGTGGGTGTGTGTTTTTTCTCAAAATATATACGACAAGTGACAGGAAAATCTGTAACAATAGATTGAAATTTCCCTTCAGACTGGATCGCGGTGATCATAAGCTGCTTGGATAAAAATAAAATCATAATTTTAAAAGTGTTTTTAAGATATGCGAAATAAATATATAAAGAAATTTATCTTAATTTATAAAAAAATACTAGTGATTATGAATTATCCAGATAGCTCCCAGGTCACCATTCATCGATCACCACGCACCTACCATTCACAAGTACTGTCAATCATGAGGCCATGTCACCCCCGCCCACGCTTGCCACGAGGACGTCTTTCATTCATTTATTTGAGTTTGCCATTTATGATCCTCAAAATAATTTAGTACACAAAGTAAAACGCAAACTCGGAATATATGCAGTCTTTTCTTTGACGAGTTGATCACAGTTTAGCCGCCCTGCATTACTCCAAATGGCCGGAAGTAGAATAATACTCTCCTCCAAGATCTTCTCATTCCTTTCCAAATTTTTCAAGACCTCAGCTAGAAACTCGTGTCCCACCTGCAAGTTCATGGGAAAGAACTCTTCCCATCTCGTGTTTGAATCCAGAGAATCGATCTCGAATAGCATACTCGTCTTCGATTTTGAAAGTGCTGTTTTGAGATCTACTACTTTGTTTCCATATTTCATGCTCGTGGCTTTTGAAGCCGGTGGGCTTCTAAGGTTTCTCCTTTTGTTTCTTTCATATCCCTTGGTGTGGCTGGCTGGAGAGCACCAGATGGGGTTGAAGGTCATGGTTTTCTTAAGCTTCTTTGGGATAAAAAAAGATACGTTCAGAATTGGATCTTCCGTTCTTCCAAAGTTCTTCTTGGAAGATGTCGGGTGTGAGGGCTTTGAAGCTGTCATGACTTTTAGACGAAAGGTGGCAATTAGTAAGATGCCAAGAATCATGGTCGAGAACTTCCTGAACGAGTACATAGGAGCTGAGACTGTTGTAGCAGGAGAGGTTAAGTCCTTATACGGATACTTTTTGGGATTCATGGAAGATAAGATACAGCGAAACAAAGCCCTCTTGGAAGAACTTGAGGAGAATAAAGCAACGCATAACGTTGTCGGCATGACTTGTCAAAAGCATGTTGACCAGCAAGTTTTCTCACATTGCAAGGTACGTGCAGGTGGTTTCTAAAAATAATCCCATTTATAATCAAAGAAGCAGGCACTTTCTGGTTACTCTAACCAAGTTAATTACTCACTCATTCAAACAATTCTGCTTTCATTAATCTTCTCTGACAATGCCGTGTTTGGTCTAGGAGGCACATTACGTGAGTGATGCTGAAAAGAGAAAGTGGCACGTCCTTCCAAGAGACAGATACCCTAAGCCTTTAATCTTTCATGATGGGAGATTGGCTTTCAGGCCGACCCTTTCTTCTTCTCTAGCCATGTTCATGTGGCTTCCCTTGGGACTGCTCATATCCCTCATCAGATTCGCAGCCGGCGAATTATTACCCCTCAAAACTTGCGGACCAATATATGCCTTATCGGGCTCCAGAAACACGGTTTCAAGAACTTATAACATTGATACCCAAGAAGAGTCCACCAAACCAAAGGGTATGCTCTATGTTTGCAATCACAGAACCTTACTCGACCCGCTCTTCATCTCATATGCTTTGGACAAACCAGTGTCTGCGGTTACATACAGTTTAAGTAGATTCCATGAGCTAGTTGCCCCGATCAAAACCATCCGATTAACCAGAGACAGAGACGAAGACAGAAAAACAATGGAGAAACTACTAACCTCTGGCAGCCTGGTCGTTTGTCCTGAAGGAACCACTTGTAGAGAACCTTATCTGCTAAGGTTCAGTCCTCTGTTTGCGGAGCTTACGGATGATATTGTTCCTGTGGGCCTTGATGTTAAAGTCTCGATGTTCTATGGAACAACGGCGAGCGGGCTTAAGTCTCTAGATGCTTTGTTTCAACTTCTGAACCCAAACCCTTCGTATCACATAAAGATTCTGCAGAGATTGCCGGAATCGAGCACGTGCCAAGCGGGGGGTAAGTCAAGGGTTGAAGTGGCGAATCACGTGCAGTCCGAAATCGGGAAGGCCTTGGGGTATGAATGCACCAGCTTCACAAGGAAAGACAAGTACATGATCTTGGCAGGACATGAAGGCCTCTGTAGTGAACGGCCTGGGAATTAATGAATCCATCGCCATTTGTGGAGGTATTATGACACGTTCATTTTGAACACAACATTCTTCCTACTTTCCTTTTTCTGTGGACTGAGATCGCCTACTAACTCCGTATAATAAGTACTCAACTGGGAGTCCTTCAATTGATTGTTTTAATTTGTAGGGTTTCGCTGGCTAGCAGAAGGACTGCGTGGGATCACTAGAGAAGACAGTGTACCAGTGAGTTGTGTTGGTGATTATTGTTCCGATATTAAGAATAATGTCGTGTCCTGTTGATCAATAAGTGCATTGGTTTGCATCTTTGTTTTTTTTACTGATAAGCTGAAAAAGAGTTTGCATCCTTATGTCGTTTACACTGATTTTGTAATGTGGCGCATATTGCATGTAATTTTATTTGGAAATAGTGCTGGTAATTAAAAAAAAAATTATTAGGTTTTGTGTCTCTTTAGCCTGTTTTCTCAGTTCTCTGTTTTTTCAACCTCCTATATCCTCTTTTAATTTTTCATTATTTGAATTTTCATCTAAAATTTTATTTAGATCAATATTTTCTCTAGTTAAAATTCTCTAAAAATATCAAATTAGTACTTGTTTTATGCATCACAGGTACAAAAACAAAAAAAATCTAGTACGCTTATTTTTGGGCCGATGCCTTGAGCTTCTGCCCAATGACTCTTGGCGAACAATTTTGGGTCACCCATAAGAGCATACAGTGTGAATTGTTTGAGAAAAATGGTTCCGTGAATTCCATGAGTTTGAACTCGGGGTGATGTGAAAACCTTATTGCAAGTGATTTGTAAATACTACTAAAATAAGATAAAATTTTTTCTAGGGAAAATGACAGATAAAGAAGCTCCAAAATGTGAAATGCCAATTTGGGAAGCTAAGGAAATGTAATTACCCATAGAGAAGTCCTTCCCAAATTGGGATTTTGAAATTCAGTGAAATGACAAAGATGCCCTTTGTTTTTTTTTTTTTAAAACCCAGCCCCTCACCGGTGGCCGGCGACTGGCCTCCGGCAGCCGCCGACCGCCTCCGGCCACCGGTGTGGTGGCTGCCGGTGAAGGATTTTTGTGACAAGATTTTTTTTTTTTGGAATAGGATAATATTGGTTCAAAGTGGCGGGGGTGGGATTTGATCCCACAACCCCTTGGCCACTTGGACCAACAAAAGGATGGCCATTGGGCCATCAAAGATTTCTTAACCTTATAATACAAACAAAAATATAAATTAACTCTTTTACTGTGACTCCAGCTCGTGACAACAATTTATCTGAGGATGACAAGTCTTAATTGAGAAATAACAAGTCTAAATTTGATATTAACAAAGCAACTTTTCGTTATACATAACAAGAAATACCAAATAAATTATGATCATAATTTATTTAAAAATGACACGTCTTTGTTGAAAAATAACAACAATTTATTCGGTATTTCTTGTTATGTATAACGAAAAGTTGCTTTGTTAATATCAAATTTAAACTTGTCATTTTCCAGTAAATACGTGTTTTTTTCAAATAAATTATGGTCATTTTTAATTAACGTAGATGCTATTTCTTGTTATGTATAAGGAAAAGTTGTCTTGTTAATATCAATTTTAGACTTGTAATTTTATAGTAAAGACGTGTCATTTTTAAATAAATTATGATCATTTTTAATTAATGCACATGCTGCTATGTTATGTATAAGGAAAAGTTGCTTTGTTAATATCAAATTTAGACTTGTTATTTCTCAATTAAGACTTGTCATCCTCAGATAAATTGTTGTCACGAGCTGGAGTCACAGTAAAAGAGTTAACTTATATTTTTGTTTGCATTATAAGGTTAAGAAATCTTTGATGGTCCAATGGCCATCCTTTTGTTAGTCCAAGTGGCCAAGGGGTTGTGGGATCAAATCCCACCCCCGCCACTTTGAACCAATATTATCCTATTCCAAAAAAAAAAAATCTTGTCACAAAAATCCTTCACCGGCAGCCACCACACCGGTGGCCGGCACCGGTGGCCGGAGGCGGTCAGCGGCCGCCGAAGGCCAGTCGCCGGCGGTGGTCGCCGGCCGCCGGCCACCAGTGAGGGGCTGGGTTTTTTTAAAAAAAAAGAAAGAACAAAGGGCATTTTTGTCATTTCACTGAATTTCAAAATCCCAATTTGAGAAGGACTTCCCTATGGGTAATTACATTTCCTTAACTTCCCAAATTGACATTTCACATTTTGGAGTTTCTTTATCTGTCATTTTCCCTTTTTTCTATTGAAAATTATTTTTAAAATTATGATTTAATTTTTAACTAAATAAAAAATAATTTAAATTTAATAATATATTTAATATAATTGAAAAATAAGAAGTATTCTTTTAGAACCTAATTATTGAGTTAATTTTAATTCTAAATATAAAATCTATTTATCTTATTTATTAATTTTTTCTAAATTAATCCTATAGATATTCCCTAAACTATAATCAAATAGAAGAGAGAGGGAGGATATTAAAAAAGATGATTATGGTGTTTTAAAAAAACATGTTATATTTCTTACAATTAACTAACTTACTTAATTTTCTTAATCTAATCAAATTAATTAAATAGTTTAAGAATAAGAGGAGTATACTTTTAAATATTAATTAAATTAATTTTAAAACATGAAAACACAACCTCACCCTTTCTTCCTGCCGATCCTCGGCTCCTCGCTTGTGACTTCCTCTTCTCAACTTCATCTTCGTGTTCTTCACTGAACCAGAGCATCAGACCATGAAATAGCATGATGAAAATGAAAACAAAAGTCAGAAAGAAATTGCAATATGTGAACTAAGGCAGATCAGAAAACAAATATTTGGAAAAAAAAAATACAGAAAAACCAACAAGAAGTTCGGACCCAGACGGCCATTGGAGTTCTAAGAGGGAAGGTTTCGAACAAAATGAGCCAGAATAGAACCACAAATTCGCTGAAATACGACTTTCAGCAATAAAGTGGGGAGAGCGATGGATGATGCGACGGAGCTCCACTGCGGTTGGATGACGGTGGTCAACGTCAGCGTCGCTGCTGGGTGTTCGTCGATCTGGATTCTAAACGTCGCCGGCGAGCTTTGGGTGCACCATACCATAGCCGGTTGGGTTCTCCACCAGTTGTCTTCTTCGATGCCTTAAGTTTGGGTTTGGCCTGAAAATTTGATTAAATTTGGAGGGCAACTTGGTCAGCAAAATTATTTTACAAGAAGTATTACCTGCGAGGTAGTATATAATTTTCCATTGGGTTTAGGTGAGATATCCATCAAGAAAATAAATTGATGCCAAGCAAGCAAAGGAAAAAAGGAAGATTTTTCACCTCTATTTTCATTTTTCAACCTTAACCTTTAGGGGACGAGACGGGACCTAAGGGCGATTGTAACATGAATCGTTCAGGACCAAAGGAAAAAGAAATACTCTTCCGGTCATAATTATAAGACCCAATTGATTTATTTGAGGAGATTAAGGAAGTAAGTTAAGTTGGTTATTTATAATAAATAAGTGTTGTCATTCCTAAAATATCCTTGTTAATTAAGTATATTGGCTAAAACTATCATTATTAGAAGGATTATCTTGGAAAAAAATACATAAATATAAGAGACAAAATGGATTGGGGTCTTATAATTAGGACCAAATAAAAAGTCAAATGGGGTCTTATAATAAGGACCGGAGGAGTAATAAAAAACGTGAAACCCCAGGAGAAAACACACCAAAACCAAACAGCTTTAAAGCGCAACACCAAAATAAATAATTAGAGGCAGTGTAGCTTGTAAGGTCTGCACCATGTTTGTTCAATAGCACGGAACAAACTTGATGGGAGAACGTACGACCAACCATTTTGAAGCGTCTCATAATAATATTGATTTAAAACAAAACTAGGCTCACTTCTTTCAATTTAAATGGATGCCATTATTTGTTTGGTGACTAATAGTAAATTCTAATAGCTGTTGAGTCTTTTGGCAAAAAAAAAAAAAAAAAAAGCTGTTGAGTCCGTACCATTACAGGCAGAAAAGCTGAACACTTTAATTAGCAGGAAGCAGAAGCTGCGAGTTACACCAGTTTTCACTTTCAGCCAATAAGTTTCATTTATAAAAACCTCCTAACGCGCATGGGATTATTGATCACCTTTCATTCAAATTTATATATACCGGAGACTGAATGACGGAAAAATCAGAAAATAGGTCACAATTAATTTTTTTTTTGGCCGAAATAGGTCACAATTAATTGATAACTGGTTTTTTGGCTGAGAACTAAGAAGCACTCCTCCTATCTTTAATATAGAATCTGATTATTGAGTTGATGTTGATCATAAATATAAGACTTATTCTTTATATTTAATTTCTCTCAATTATAATCAAGTACAAGAGAGAGATAGGATATTAAAGAAGATGATTATGGTATTTTAGAAAAAACATGTCATATTTTTTATAATTAACTAAATTACTTAACTTTTTTAATCTAATTAAATTAATTTAATAGATTTTATATTAAGTATCAGTAATATTTACCTTCAATACTCTGAAGAGGAATTCTGTAAAATTGATACTACCTCTGGTCCTAATTATAAGATCCAATTGACTTATTTGAGAAGATTAAGGAAGTAAGTTAAGTTAGTTATTTGTAATAAATAAGTGTTGTTATTGCTAAAATATCCTTGCTAATTAATTATATTGGCTAGAACTATCATTATTAGAAGGACTATCTTGGAAAAAAATGCATAAATATAAAAGACAAAATGGATTGGAGTCTTATAATTAGGATCAAATTAAAAGTCAAACAAAGTCTTATATTAAGGACCGGAGGTAATATTATAATATTGTGAAATCATGGATCAAATTTTAGACTTCAACGAGATTCGGGACAGCTGGAGAGTGTGATTAGGACTACTTTTTCTTTTTTTGGCCTGAATTCATAAAACACTATTAAATGCAGGGCAGAAACTCTGTGACAAATAACGAATTATAAAACCTGTCTCTCCTCTTTCCTTTCAACGTTTTGCCATTACCAGTAAAACCCTGAGAACGCCATGGCAACCATTCCCCTTGTTCACAAAACCGGAAAGCTGTCAAACAGCGTTCTAGTGTTCGACTTTGAGGGCACCATGTTGAGATCCACTTCATTGTTTCCTTACTTCATGCTCGTAGCTTTTGAAGCGGGCGGTTTGTTAAGATCTCTCCTTTTGTTACTTTCTTACCCTCTGGTGTGGCTGGCTGGAGAAGAAAACCATATGGGGTTAAACATAATGGTTTTCTTAAGCTTCTTTGGGATAAAAAAAGACACATTCAGGATTGGATCTTCTGTTCTCCCAAAGTTCTTCTTACAAGATGTTGGGCGTGAAGGTTTCGAAGCTGTTCAGAGTTTTGAGAGAAAGGTGGCGGCTAGTAAAATGCCAAGAATCATGGTTGAATGCGTCCTCAAGGAGTATTTAGGAGTTGATGCTGTGGCAGCCAGAGAGATGAAGTCATTCCATGGTTACTACGTGGGACTGCTTCAGCGGGAGAAAAAGCACGACAAACCCCTCCTAGATTGTAACAACGTTGTTGGCATAGGTAGCCAAATTAAGAATGATGAGCAGGAGCTTTTTTCTCGCTGCAAGGTCGGTGTTTCTTTTTACAGACAGACATTTCAGCTCGCTCATTATTATATCTATCACGCTCTTCTCTTTGGTTTTGAGTATCATTTTGTTTCCGCTGTACGTGCAGGAGGTTTACTTGGTGAGTAATGCTGAGAAAAGAACTTGGGAAGCGCTCCCAAGGGAGAGATACCCAAAGCCAGTGATCTTCCACGATGGAAGATTAGCCCTTAGGCCCACCCCTTTGTCTTCTCTAGCTTTGTTCATGTGGCTACCACTTGGGCTATTTATCAGCATGCTCAGATTCACAATTGGCATATCACTGCCGTTCAAAGTGTCAGGTCCAATATTGTCATTTTTAGGCGCGGGCACCACATTATCGAAATCCCAGGTTTATCAGAACGAAGAAAGTGAGCAAAAGGGAACGCTATACGTATGCAACCACAGAACCTTACTGGACCCACTTTATATCTCATATGTTGTAGACAAGCCCCTCTCTGCCGTCACGTACAGCTTGAGTAGATTCAATGAGCTTGTTTCCCCAATCAGGACGATCCGATTAACCAGAGACAGAGAGAAGGACAGAGAGACGATGGGGAAGATGTTGAGCTCAGGAAGCCTAGTGGTCTGTCCGGAGGGAACCACTTGCAGGGAACCTTATTTGCTCCGATTCAGTCCGCTGTTTGCTGAGCTGACCGATGATATTGTCCCTGTTGCAGTGGATGTGCAGGTCGGCATGTTCTATGGGACAACGGCGGCGGGGAATAAAGCTCTGGACCCTTTTTACCTATTTCTGAACCCAAAGACTAACTATTGTGTTGGGATTCTGGAGAGATTGAAGCGATGTAATACGTGCCAGGCAGGTGGGAAATCCAGGATTGAAGTTGCTAATTACGTGCAAAGTGAGATCGGCAAGGCTTTAGGGTTTGCATGCACAGGCTTCACCAGGAAAGACAAGTACATGACTCTTGTGGGTCACGACGGCGTCTGCAACTGCAAGTGCCCTTCAGGGGCGGCCGTGTCACTACACAAGGTCAGCCTGCTTTGGATTTAAATGTAAAAAAAGGCATATTTATTTATTTAGCTTTCTATTTTTCATCAATGATTTTGAATTGAGAAAATAGAGGACAAATCTTAACTTTTATTAAATGTGATTAAATCAAATCTAAATCAAGTTTTTCTTTTTTTTTTTGGCCAAGGAAATCAAAATTACATACTATCTGTTAGGGCATCCCTTTTATTTTTTAAAAAAATCATTTTATGCGAATGCAGGGAAGAATTCCAAACCCCAACTGATTTCATGCACATGGGTTGCTCCGACAGCAATTGCAATCGACTTGGATTCTCTCCACTACCTTTTCATCTTCTTCCCCTCCACTATCCTTCTTTTCTCTTCACAACCATGGGATCAAAAGTCCAATGGTCCAAATTTAACATCTTATAAAAATAATGTTATTAAAAAAAATAAATAAATTTAAACTGTTAAAATCTAGTCTGAACAGTTTACAATTGTAATAAAAAAATTTAAAAAAATTTGCTCTATAATAACAGTTTGTAATTATGAACTGTTCAGATTAGATTTTAACAATTTAAATTTATTTATCTATTTTTATATAATATTTATTTTTATAAAATGTTATAAAATATTAAATCTGGACTATTGGAGTTTTGATCCAATGATTGTGAAGAGAAAAGAAGGGTGGTGGAAGGAAAGAGGATGAGAAAGATAGTAGAGAGAATCCAGTTCCAACTTCAACATGAGATAATTAGCGAATGCAATTGTGTAAGGTTGCGGCGCATTGGGGTAATCGAGTTAGTGGCGGTCTTTTAACTGTTTTCCTTGTTATTTCTTTTTTGATTTAAACTAGAATAAACCTTTTGCTGTATAATATGTACGGAGTCCCCTTTCATGCTGCTTATCTGTTTAATTATTTAGAGAAATAAAAGTTAAACCTCTGATTCCTATACCCTTTTCGCAATTTTTTTTCACTAGGGGTTCTAAACCTCAATTCCTCCATGTTGATCTTTAGTAGTATTTGGTAAAAGAATGTCCAAAATTAGCGTTCCCCAAGACTACTTTTTACTCTCTCTAATATTAATATTTTCATGCTACTTATCTGTTTAATTATTTAGAGAAATAAAAGTTAAACCTTTAATCCCTATACCCTTTTCACAATTTTTTCACTTGGGGTTCTAAACCTCAATTCCTACATGTAAATCTTTAGTAGTATTTGGTAAAAGAATGTCCAAAATTAGTGTTCCCCAAGACTACTTTTTACTTTTTCTAATATTAATATTTTCAGTATTTTTAATATTTAGATTTTTTTTATTATTCATATTTAATTTTATTACTCATTCTTACCTCCGTTCTTAAAATTTTAAGCTATTTTTTTATTATGTTAGTATTTTTTTAATAATAAATTCTCACTGTACTGAAAAAATCAAATATGTTTATTTTTAATTTTTTTAAATACTAATCCCTACAACTTATAAAGTAAAAATTCAGCATTAAAAAATTAAATTAAAAATAAGTATTAAAAATAAAAGATAAATACTAAAAAAATCACCATAAGGACTGAAAAGATTCAACATTATTGGCGATTCCAACATCCACATGGTTGTTCTGCGTATTTTTGTTAGTTCAAAAATTCTATTTTCTAGTTTAAAAAATCACCATGTCTAAATGATTTTTTATTTTTATTATAACGACCTCTTACATATTTCATAATATAATATGTTACTCCTCCGGTCCTTAATGTAAGATCCATTTAACAAATTTGATTAAATTAAAGAAGTTAGGTAAGTTAGTTAATTATAAGAAATGTGACACATTTTTCCTAAAACACCATAATCATCTTTCTTAATATCTCATCTCCCTCTTCTACTTGGTTATGATTGAGAAGTATCCATAACGGTAATTTAGAAAAAATTGATAAATATGAAAAATGGATCTTATATTTAGGACCAAAACTAACTCAACAATTAGGTCCTATATTAAGGACTGAAGGAGTATATATTCAAGGCATTAATTTTTTTTCCGTTGAGTATCTCCAATAAATTATAAAACTTTATAAATAATCTTAACTTCTCTAACTCATGATTGTTATCGAGAGTAATTATGAAGACTTATACAAATTGACCTGTTTTAATTACCGTTCTTAATATAAATAAAGTAGTTACTTGGGCCTGCAAAGGTCCGACTGGTCGCAAACGGGAACGCAAGGCGCTTTCCCTACCACGTCATGAGCTCGATACCTGTGCGAGGCACCCTAGGATTAGTCTGGCTGATAAGCTAGGATACCCTGAGTTAGCGATACCATCCTACTCAAAAAAAAAAGTAGTTACTTGGAGTTTATAAAAAGAACTGGAGGAAGTACATGAAAATACAAGTTTTTCTTGTCGGGTGCACAAGAAGCTGGAGGGCCTAAAAGCAGCCATGAATTGCATTATTCAATATCTACAACAGATTGCAGATACAAAGGAGAGAGTAGAAATATAACAAGGAAAGGCTACACAGAAATGAACATATGGCATCCGTTTATATAGACAGATAATGGGCACGAACCTAGAATGTTGCATTTGACAAAGTTCGGAGCATGCACTAAGGCCCTAGCAATTCAAACCCCAGTCGTAAGTCTCATAAACGACCTTCAATTCAGAAGTGGTGAGCCAATCCAGTAACGCTGCTGAGTCAGCTGGATTCAAGTAATTGGACACATGCTTCAGCACCTCCACCTCGTCATTCCCAAAATCTGTACTAAACCTGAATCAAGAGGCAAAATCTGTGATTAAAAAAACAGAAAGAAAAGAAGAATCATTTCCATGTCACCAAAAATCCCAATATCGGATGCATCTCCCATCACACTAACAGTTTCATTTCATGACAACATTGGAATAATAACGCGAATAGCCAAATTTTATCTCCTTACAAAATTTGTTTCCTCAACGTTTTCAAGACTTGCACTGTTGCACAAACTCTGTTTCTTTTGCTTACTAAGCTTTGCCACCTCTCACTACACTGAATTAACCACACTGAAAAGTACTTAAGTTTGATGCAGCTGCACGGGAATTTAAGCTTTTTTTTTTTCCCGTTAGACCCGGAATTCAACAAAATAGATTGTCAGTTCGAAAAAAGTAAATCGACAATCAATCAATCTAATAAATAGTAAAATAATGATAATAATATATTAATCAATCAATCCCTTTTCATATGATACATCAATGTCTAACGCATAATATATTGTCTCTTCACCGGGGGAGAAATTTTAACTCATGCAGCTGCTCACTAGCTCTCTTATCAAAATAGGAACAATATAAGGACATCTCACCAACACTCTAAAACACCTGAACAATCATATCTCCTATTAATCATATCTCAACTCATAATAGACTGGACCAGATTAAAGGTCATTACATGGACAATTTTCATGCTTCTCCCTTTTTTTGTTTGCACACCGCCTCTTTTAATAACGTTTTCATGTCCCTCCCGGATTTTTCAGGTTGTTTTCAGATTTCCTTCTAATCAATTTGCCTTCATATTTTTAATCCAATTGCGGCCGCTACATCTCCCTGCATTGCTCCATCGAAAACTTGCTAGAACCTCCGGATTTATTTAGTGTCAAGGTTCATGAAATTAAATAAGTATGATCAAATCTGTTCCTACATCCCAATCTAGTATATATTACGGGGATTTCTTATTCATATTTTAATGTAGATAAGCCTGGGAAATGTGTCTTTTTGCCAATGTTTTTGGCACGTTCCCTCACAAATTTCTTCGGTTTTAAACGTGAACAAAGAGCATGTTAATTATATTGTTAAATTTTCAATTTAATTATGACAAGAACAGAAAAATCCAACTTATCACCTTGGCAATGAAAGCTCTGGTATCATGTAAATCTACTTATCGATATCTTCAAGATGAGCACTTGAAACTATTCAGCAGTTCGAAAATGTTTCAGCCAATAAAGTGTCTCATTTGTTATGAGGTGTATGGCAATTAGCTATGAGGTGTTGTTTGTTTAGTCCCTGCCAAATACTGGTAGTAAGCATAGCATGTCAACAATCAAATTCAGAATCCGTTTATAGAGGGGCTTACCACTTAAGGATCTTACTAGCGTATGCAACCTTGGCATTCAGATCAATTGTTAGCCCTCCATTTCTTATGAATTTGCGGCCCGCATCCATTAATTCTTCGTCGATGTCTCCAGGAGAATAACATCGAAGCGCAGGGCCAGATCGGGTACCACAAACTAAAGCGAAATGAACAAGAGGCTCGGGATAAGGGAGAGCCACCTGAAATACAAGTAAAGAAGCAGAGTATCGATTCAGTTAGATTGCTAATCGACAGACATCGTGGTCGGAGCATATGGGAAAAATAAGGCCCTTCGCTGACATAGAAATGACCTAATAGATAACGACATCAGAGATACACTCACGAGAACCTAGATTGAGCCAACACTGCAAGTTAAAGGAATCAACAAGTCACAGAAACTCCAATAAGATCTTGGCTTCAAGCAAAAAAGAATCTTACACTTAAAAACTTGACAACCAAAATTTTGACAACTCAATCGAAAAGATAAAGAGTGAGTTTCCTTCTAGGCATCCCCCTATTATAGAGATTCTTCTAACATCTCATCGCTTAAACCAAGGCCATTAGGCACTGTGGAAAAGAAACTGAACACCCCCAGGGGAATGTAGGTAATATATATTTGATGAACATCTCTTTCGAGATCGAATGCATTAAGTATATGAGAAGTTGAATAACTTACCCTTGAACGTTTATCTTTCTCGCCAAATGGCCTCATAAGGCTATATGGCGGTCGCTGGTTTCCCCTCAAAATGCCGTTTTGAATAGATGAAAGTGAGTAGGTGCACCCACCTATGACATACTTGAAATCATCAAACATTTTCCTTCTTTCCAGCGCTCCGGCTGGATGACCCCCTACTAAAATTGCATGGATAGCCATCATATTGTAAAGATTTATAAAGAAGGCAAGCTTTTCTTCCCTAGATATCTCCCATATTTCCACTCTTTGCAGCTCCTCGACTGTTCTCAGATACCTAAAGTGATAATTATAGTCATAATAAATAAAGAGAAAAAAGGGACAGCAGTTTTCTGTTGGATGGTAAGGAAAAAACTAAAAAAAAGTTCTGAAAACCTTGCAAATTCCTCACTTCCATGGAGACTTCTGTAATCAATATGATGTCCATCTTCAGAAGCATAAGCTTCAAACATTGCATAGGATAGAAACCTCAGCCTTGATGCAATTTCTGCTATAGGCTTGGGCTTCACAGGATTATGCCCCTCGGAATGTTGTGACACTGAGACGCCACAATTGGATCGTCATCTAAAAATCGATACAAGTGATTACCATCCTCAAATAGATTCTCACTAGAACAAAACAAAAGAAAAACGTTGAAATCAGTTCCATAACTAAATATTTTTTTTTAAAAAAAAAAAGTAGTGGAGACACCTGATAGACTACTTCGACTTACTCAAGAACATGCTGAAGGAAGAGTTTGCTTGCAAGCTTTCGTGCAAATTGAACAGCCTATACAACTGGACAAGAATTAGAATAGATAGCAACGGTCTAATAAAGCTATAAATGGTTTGAATTGAGTCAGTTAAAATACAAAGTCGAGGATTTCATAGATCATGGAATGAAGAAACTTTGAAGATACAATTAATATACTCTACACAGCTTAGCTAGGCCCGCATTAGTACATTACCATTATCCCCTTATTATAAAAATGTCCAACGCCTGTCCTCAATAGTGTGCTCAATATATAAGCATGACTACAAAAAGAGCTGACAGAGATCAAACATGTCACTTAATTTCCGCCACGCAGAATAAATCTAAGTGACAATTTTTTTGGATGTCATAATCTATCTGCATCTCATAGACATTAGTAGTCCAAAAAGTTTGCGATACAAAATAGTTGAAATGAAAAATTTTAAATAGAACAAAAACCTGATGCTTAATAATAAAAATATTAAATGGAATTGTCAATCTATAGCTATGCTTTTACAGCTTTTGGTTTAATGAAAAATGTCGTTTTGTCTTTCCAAATAATTCACAAGACGTCAAGAACTAGAAGATTCTCAAAAATAGATTCCATATTCTTAACAAAGTTTCATATTTTGAGACATGCATCAGACCATACTTTTTATTAATGAGAAACTTCTGTTTTTAACAACCAATTCATCAACAAATAACTATGATTCAGGATGAGGAGTGTATCAGCGTTAGACAAATGGTTGAGAATTAAGATCAGCCTTGCCTCTTGTCTCTCCAAGTATTGATCTTCTGATAAAAAGTCTACAGCTTCTGAGCCAAGAAAGCAGTTAGTGAACCTACGCATTCTCCAAAATCGGTCCTTCACAACAATAAATTCTCTCATTTTTCGGACAATTAAAGCCATTTCATCTGAAGCCCGACTACTGGACACATCATCCTCTCCAGAAAGCGGTGGTAATGGTGCTTCAAATGATGGTAGTTCAGTAATGAGAAAGTCAATCTTCTCATTGAGCTTGCCAGACTTATCCAAGGCCTTTAGCTCACTCAAGCCACCAATAAGTATTTCACTGAAAAAAACCTTGGGAACAGAAGCATCACCAGAAATCTTCTCCAGCTCTGGCTTTCTACCAGGGTACACATCAATGTTGATTTCAACATATCTGAGCCTTTTCATGTACAAAAATAGCCTAACCTTTTTGCACTCCTGGCAACCTAACCTTGAGTACAATATAACCCTTCCCTTCATAGCTATAGGTTGCGGAGGCCATTCACTTTTGTTCTCCACACTAACACCATAAGATATCTTGAAAGAATTTAAGGGACTGAAAGCATGTCTCTCTGCTGCTTTCTCCAAATCCATTTTGGATTCACTGTCTTTTGGTGATTCTGAAACATCCCTACCTTCATCACCAGAAATGCATATAGAACCTTTGTCTCTTTTCCTGAAAGGCGACGCAGAAGAGTGGAGACTGCTAGACTTTTCTGCCTAATTATATTTTTAAAAGCCCCCGCCTTCTCACCTATACCCTGGTTCTCTTGATCAGCTTCCAAAGAACAGGTAGATTTGCTACTGCTAGCTTCCATCTCAGGATCCTTTCGTCCATCAAACACAAGCTCTGAACTTCTATCCTCACTTGGGAATTCATCTGCCTTTTGATTAATTTTTGTTTTTTCTTGGTTCCTATAATCTTCCATCTCTTTGGCCAAGTCATTTTGTAAATTCTTTTTATCCACATTTTCCTCTTGGACATTAGACTCAACTACACTCTCATCCACTTTATAACTAGAGTTCACAATGTCGACAGATCCGTTTCGAGTTTCAGATTTCAGGAAAGCACTCTCAGCCACCTTGCAACAAGACTCATCTATAACAGTTCTGTTTTCTAAATTCTCTTCTTGAGATGTCCATTGCAAATCCTTGACTTTATCAATCCTCAGAGCAACATCATATTTTACAACCACATTCATTCCTTCAGAAGTTATAGACTTCAAGTCTGTTGTCTCACTTGTCTGAAAAGACATATCATCCAGTCTGTTGTCTAACTCCGGAGGACCATCATGGCTAATAATTTGAATTTTTACCTGATCCAATGGTTTACCTGAATCTTCATTTTGAACTTTTAAATCATCTACTAGCTGTTTTTCAACAGCTTGAGATTGTGCTCCATGTGTTCCCCCTGCTTCTTTCTCCATGGGGTGAACAAGAGTTTGCATACTATGTCAGGAAGACACACGTCAGGCCTTTCATAATCTATTCTTTTACTAGTTGTTCGCCTGGAAAATCCAAATAAATAAATTTCTGCCTGTTAATATTAATTATCAAAACACAATCAAAAGCATTCTCCTGACCAATGACAAATGGATCTGCATGTCATGACATTTAGAGCAGCTTTGGTGAGTATGCTAAATGTGAAGGTTTTTATACGGAAAAAGACGTTCCAAATCGTTATAAAAGCTAAGATACATGGCCTACAAGAAATAATATCACAATAGCCTTCCTTGCATTCCTATGATCCATCTTATTTGTAAATTGGCAACGAAAGAACAGGAAATGTGAAAGAAAACGCTCAAATATTCCTTCCACGTACTTAAAGGAGTGTCAAGAAACAGACATTCATACATATGTCATCAGAGAGTTCAAGCAAGCAAAGTAAGAACCAAAAGCACTCACTTACTTATCTAAAATATATATATATATATATATATCTCATAAGTAGGTAGAATATGTTCATATGGCCAGCACTTTGTATAGGAGCTGTGTGACAGAACTCGACACAACTTTACACTTACGGGAAATATACTGCAAAAAGATAACAAGAATTAAAGGCGGTAGATGAGACTAGAATTTCAATTAGTCTACCGAGGCATTATGTCACAAAACAGGAAAGACAAAAGAAATTGTTGAAGCAGCATTCTCCCACACTGAATCATAATAACGGCTTGTAAGATTTCCTCGGTCCATTCAGTCGGGTTTCTCAGAAAAAGACTCCTAAGTTGTGGCATTGAATGGATGATGGAAAAGAATGCAGACCGAATTCATCTCCCAAATGACCCGCAGAGTGTAGAGCGTAATTGTATACGAAAATGGTACCGAGAGCAAAGAAGTATGGAGCAAATTTTAGCAGGGCAGGAAAAGAAACAAACAATTTGAAAATGAGAAGAAATTACGGACCTGACGTTAGTTGGCGCCAAATTGAACAGGAAAATACAAAGAGAAGTTGATCAGGTGAGAAATGGCCAAATGGGGAAGAATACGAGAGGATTTACGGGGACGGGATTTATCGAGAGGTTTTTCATTTTTGATCCCAAGCTGAGACCGCCAGGCACGACATTGAATGAAGGACCGGGGAGCCGTGGTCAGCCAGGCGGGAGAAGCGGGAATTTCGCGGGCCAGGCGCGAACATTTTCGTTTGCGCCCACACCGAATACCACACTGTACAATCTTCAGTTTTGAATTGGGTTTGGGCTTTGGGCCCCTTTGCTTCGAGCTACGTGAACGGATATAGGACCTTCTGCGGCGCTAACCCATTGGAGTATTATTTTTCCTAAATCCTTGTTTTTAGCCCTTTTTCACCAGGGATCTGGACAGACGACGTTGACCCCCCCCTCCTCAAAAGGGATGCTGATTGAGTGATTGCTGAATGGCTAGTGTTTTTTTTTTCAATACATCAATATCCTTCTAATTAATTCTATTTGAGATATTATCAAACACTAAATATGAATATTTTTTTAGCATAATTCTAATCTTGAATTCTGAAGCTCAACTGTTTCGTCCAGAAAAAAAAAATTACCTTTAGTTTTTAATATAAGAGCTAGTTGACTAATTTAAACAGATTAAAGAAATTTGTTAAGTTAGTTACTTGTAACAAATATGTGTTGTTTTTTCTAGAATACCCTTGATAATTTAAATATATTGGCCAAAATTATTATTTGATGAGATCTTTAACATGTGTAACTAAGACGAGGATTATTTTAGAAAAAAAACAGAGAGAAATGCGTAAGACAAAGTAGATTGGGGTCTTATATTTAGAATCAAATTAAAAGTTAAACTAGCTCTTATACTACCTTCGGTCCTTGATATAAGACATTATTTGACTTTTATTTTAATTCTAAATATAAGACCCTCATCTACTTTATCTTTTATATTTATGTAATTCTTGCCTGAGGTAATCTTTCTAATAATAGTAGTTATAGCTAATATATTTGATTGGTAAGGATATTTTAAGAAAAACAATACTTATTTATTATAATTAATTAATTAATTAATTTTTTTTTAATATATTTAAATTAGTTAACTAAAAACGGGAGGTAATACTAAGGACACCATGTTGGACGAAGCTTTGCCACTTATCTCCTAGTTCGCCTACTGAACTCTGAACAGAAAGATTAACGAAACAGCACAAGATGGGTTCTTGGTCTGGCAAAAAAAAGTTGGCGCAAAAGATTTAGCGGACATTGCGGGGTTTGAACCCGACGTGAATCGAACACGCAACCTTCTGATCTGGAGTCAGACGCGCTACCATTGCGCCACGGATCCGCTTTGGGCAGCTGGGAAACATTATAAATAACTCAAAAGGAAAATTTTTTTGCCTCAACTACTTTCCCGCCAATACAAACGACCTACTGAAACTAACATCTCTGTCTGGTATCTCGATGAGTTGAACCGCCAAAGAGGCCCCTTTCAGAGTATAGATAGCTGTGCAGTAACTGTCACTGCAAAGGCAGCGACTTGCAGCTTATGGTATAGAGTACGCGCCTCTCGCTCTGTTCACCCAAGTATACGATATTGCATTTTCCTGAAAAATCAATGACAGCAAGTTCCAAGGCACGGGAACACGAATTAAGTGATGTCAAGCCCTCGCCGTTCAAATCGCATTTTCCTGGAAAATTGTCATCGAAGAGTTTTACAACGGAACACGGGTTGATTGATGTGAAGCCCACACTACCAAAATTCCGTGATGAAATAACCGATGATCACCAAGAATGGAGGATTCCTTTTTTCAAGTCTGGCTCTCGGCGCAGAGGCGACACTTGGATCATTTCAGTCTTCGTAATCCTACACACTGGGGTTTTCATAGCTACCATGCTCGTCAATGACTGCTGGACTAACTCCCACGGCGATTGCATTCTCAAAGACCTCGGAAGATTATCGTTTCAGCCTCTTTCTGAGAATCCCCTGCTCGGTCCTTCCGAGTCCAAGTGAGTCTTTACAATCCTTTCAAGCAGGCTTTAAGTTTCTTTAATATATTTCATTTGCGTGTACTTTCTTGATTTTGCCTTTTTCTGACTGAGTAAAATCGTCTTATTAGTTTGAAGTTTCCAGAAAGATTCTCTCTAATTTGTATGGTTATATGCTCTGCCAGAATTTCTTGGTCCTAAAAATATATGATCGCAGCTCTGCATAGGACTAGTAATTGGAAGTTTTGTGCATTTGAATCTTATTTCTTTGACGCTTTCTAGTTGTATTTTCCTCTTCTTTTTCTTTTTCTTTTAATTTTCTTTTAGGCTTACAAGAGATCTAAGTGCAGTTTAGTGTCTAATTTTCATTCCAGAAATCATTCGTTAGCCTCTGGATTTTACATCACTTTGGTAAAGTAGCGGATACAGCTTGACACCTGGCAAAGGAATTTTTGTTACAACAGTGATAAAAGCAACAATGTCCTTATTATTTTGAGCATCATAGACAATAAGGCAAACATTCAATAATCTGATCAACTAAATATTGCAACTGGTGAAGCTTCTCATTTTGCTTTTAATAAGAAGGTAGTGTTTATTTCACGAAATCAAGAATGCAGTATTTAAAGGGGAGCACTCGTACACTACTGACAAGTTTCCTCTGCCCTATATTATCGTGTGGTACTGAGGGAATTTGAAGCAAATTAGTATAAGAATAAAACCTTCTTAAAACTGTGGCATTTTATTGGTGTATTATATGGTTGAATTTGAGCATTAGTTCTCCTTGTGCGTACACTTGTCTCTTTGAAGCTTCAAAGAATCGATAGATATACAAAAGATGATCCCAACGAAGCTATTTGTTTTCCCCTTCGTATTAACTTCCGTACTATGTTTCTTTCCCAGAGGACAGAATTTGTTATTTATTTGGGGTAAAAGATAAGATTTTTCTTCATTAAAAGTGTCCAAGCTAGTTTTCACCAAAGCTAATGTCAGTGCAGGTTAGATGAAATGGGAGCTCTTCGACGAATCTTCTTGACTGAATATCGGCAAACTTGGCGTCTTTTCACATTTCCAGTCTTGCATGCTGGAGCCATCCACCTTGTCATCAATATTTGTAGTATGATTTTTGTGGGAATTCACCTAGAGCAGGAGTTTGGACCCCGTAAAGTCTACTGTTTCTTAAAGTGTTTAATTTTGATTGAGCTAAAATGAGTAGAAATATTGCAGTTCGATTGTAATGGTAAATTTGACATAGATACCTTTTTCTGCGCAGTAAGGATTGGGATAATCTATATACTGTCTTCTTTCGTGGGTTCCTTGGTGGCTTCTCTCTTCATCCAAAACATTCCAGCTGTTGGTGCCTCCGGTGCATTATATGGATTATTGGGATCCATGCTTTCAACGCTTATTTGGAACTGGAAATATTCCACCAATAAGGTTCTTCTATTCCCCAGCTCATTATTTCTGCTCATTGGCCTGCATAAGTTGAGGATTAATAATCTTGTCATGCTGGATGCAGATTGCAGTTAGTGCACTGTTAGTCTCTGTGTTTGTGTTCAATTTCGCCCTTGGCTTGCTGCCTTACGTAGACAATTTTTCAAGCATAGGGGGTTTTATATCTGGTTTTCTTCTTGGATCTGCACTTCTCGTCAGCCCTCAGCTAGCTCCAGATAAAGCAGGCCTCATTGATTACGGCCTCAAAAGTTGCGTCAAATTAAAATTGAAGAAAAATCTGGACAGACCAATTATGAGAATTCTTTCTCTCGTTCTCCTTAGCCTAATGTATGCTGTTATTTCCTCTGATCTGTTTCTAGTTAATTTGCATGACTCTCAACCTTCCATGCCGCTAGTCATTTTCTCAGTGTACATCATATCTTAATAAGCTAATTCATCTGTCCGCAGAGTTGCAGGATGTGCTGTCGCAATTCATTTTGGTATAAACATTAGCGACTATTGCGCGTGGCTCCAATATGTTGACTGTGTTCCTTCTAGAAGGTGGCATTGCCAAAACATAGAAACCTCTTGCGAGGTATACGGAATTTACTCTAACATCTACCAAACTAAACAATAAATCATTACATGAAAAAAAAGAATCATTAGAGATGCACTTCATTGAGTTTAGTGAAGTGTTAATTCCAGAAGCCTGATGCCTCATGCTAACGTTAGTTTATATTCTCCAAAATGCAAATGCAGACCATGGTGAACGATGCGCAGTTGACATTGACTTGCATGAGGAATGGCAACTTCCGGATCTTTCCTTATACCAATATTTCTACGGCAAGAAAGAACGATTTGTGCACTATGATATGCCTGTAAGGCTAGTTGTTCCCGATGTGATCCTTTTTGCTCCAATATACACCGGGAATTGTGCGCAGTTGATGGCATCTTGCATGTTTTACCCTTTTATCACATTTCTTTTCCCAATAATATAGAAATGGGAGCTTCTGCTGAGCCTCGAGGGAACTTATCTGACGCTAGAGTGATGTAAGAATTTGTTGCCGCTTGTCTTTTTGAGCACGAATCCTTTTCATGCTTGTTGTAAGTTGAAGTAGGTATAAATAGACTCACTTCATTTCTTTCTAATCGGGAATCCTTATTTTCATTCGGATAATTGATTGTAGGAATGAAAAACCGATTTTGTCACGTAACTAACTATGAAGGGGACAAAAAACGGCCTGTATCCTCCACCTAATTAGTTGCAACATGAAAAGGATGCCCTTGCTTTCCTCGACGTCTCGTCCATGACATAGAAAGTTTCAAAATAGTCATACATTTATTATATTTTGACCTCAAACCGACATATAATTAATTCTTAGTTTGATTGAAAGCACAACGCAACTATTCATTTGGAACCCCTTATGGAGCACCAGCACCTGTGAACAGAAGCTGCTTTTCATTTGGAAATAGCGAGTGAGCTGGAGTGGAGTCCGCCGCCTTTACGGTTAAAAGGCCATTCATTTGAGGCAGAGTGCTGTGAATGAGTGGAACCAGTTTCGACGCTCATCCATTTGATGAGCACCATAAGCTCATCAGATCTGAACCGTCCATATCTCATTTGGGCGGTTCAGATTTGATTTGTTTTTTATTTTTATTTATTCAAAATAATTATTTTAATATATATAGAATCTAAAATAGTGATGATCTCTTAACTATCATTTTTTTAAAAAATAGTTTATTCTATTTAAAAATAATTAATTAAAGATTTTAAATATCTACCGTTCAAATAAAGTATACACGGTTTAGATCTGATGAGTTTATAATGCTCATTAAAAAGATGAGCACCGAAACTGATTCCGTGAAGGAGTACCCTCAAACTTTACAATCCATAACGTGGGCCTATTTCTGCCTTCGAAGTTCCAAAGCATCCTTTGCCAAATTCTAAGACCCTGCTCGTCATTACAGGGTGGGGTTCCGTTTTATTAATCCTACTCATTGCCAAACCGGCTGCGCCGGGAAACCAAAAACAAAAGAAAGCAGTCTTCTTTTCTAATTTTTTAAATCAAAAGAAATAGGAGAATGGGCTCCACTCTTGATTGATTTCGGCCAAAAATATTCAAGTCTTTAATTGGTCCTTTGTACTGTCGGCTGATAAAAGCATTAATAATAGCCCCCCAAATACTTGAACAGTTCATCATACTTCCATTCCCCACTTTCTTTATGTACCGAGAGCGGACTTAAATCCCCTCTCAAGACAATTTTAACGATTGTAAATTCCCAGACTCTAAGACCCATGATTTGATGCCATCCGGGACGACGCTTTCCTATTCTTGTCCTCATCCGTAAAATGGAAAAGCCCAATGTTCCGCGCAAAAGCAGTGTAGAACATATTTAGCAAAATTTTCAATCAAGCTCAATCTCATATGCAACAAAAATAAATAAGCGAGTGGCAGCCACTGGTTTTGAGAGGATGTGGCATCTTGCGAGGGGCGTGCCGAGTAAGGTAAAGGGTTAAGAATTGACATAGTTTAGAAGTTGAAGTAACAATTCAGATATCGAAAGTTCGAAACCATAATCACGAGAAAGGGAGTTGCAACACACCTCGCCTCCCCTGCTCGCACATACATGCATACATATATTATATATGCGTACATAGAGAAAGCCTGCACGAGATGCCCCAGTTCACAAAAGCCTACCACCACTAGTCACCATCCCCTCCCAATCCTCACATTACCATAAATGCTTTGCTTGCTGCTTTTAAGCTTTCTTCCAAAACTCTTTATAATTATACAGACCTCCCCTTTTAAAGCAGGATATAGGGACTAAAAGGCAACATTAGTGGGAAGGAACCCTCAAGTGCAAAAGAAAGCATTATTGCCTCTCGCCATCAAGCCTTGCCGGTCAAACAGGACCATCGTCCATACAGACTAAAACCTACGAAATACACTAATAAATTTGATCATTGGGTCCTTTCTTTTCATAATAATACTCATGTCCCTCCCAATGGTCTTCTGCTTGTGAGTGAGGTGCTATTTGCTTCCTCTCATACTCACACGCGTTCTCAAGCACACAGGCAAACTTAGTCCCACATAGGCCCCTCATTTACGTATGTTTATCAACTTCCTACTCGAACAAACACAGTGCAAATGATGGCCAACCATTGCTTTTGCAAATTTACGTATATATACTTTAAAACCCGGCCCATCCCATTTAACGCATCATTGTGGGGACTTCTTCCTTAAGTGCATGCTCCTGTTTGCACGCACACACTTGCTCTTTATTCTCCTTGCCCTCAAGTAATATTGGAATTAATTCCATTCATGTGTCTTTTCATTCTTTCCCGGCAAAATATTATATAGTATTTGAGATCTCTTCTTGTCTAGATTCACATTCTTCGCTACTGTATAAATCACTTCCTGTAGTTTATGTTCTGTTGAGTCTACTTGATAGGTATATATTGCACCATCTCATCATGTTTTCCTGAAATTTGAAATCTAAGTAGTATGAAAGCGAACATCTTTGGAATTGGAAGTAAATAATCAAATAATTGCGCAACCCGACAGCCTGCAGAATATTTGTTCTGGTTTTATGAATTAGACTGTTTATTGAATGAAATAGGAAAGTAAACTTTTGGTGTGTAATTAGTGAAATTGGTTATCAGGTGAAAAGAAATATTTTGCTTTTAGAAGGTTGAGAATATAATTATGGTCCAGTTGTTTATTTTCATGGGTGCCACCTGCCCCGTATAGTGCTAGCTCCAAGCTACGCTTTTGCCTTTAGCTTTAGATTTCTTTAGCCCCTTGTGAATAAGTTGTTCTCGTTTCTGACAGCTTGGTGAGAACATCTTCCTCCTACAAAGACAAATATGCCCTTTTTCCCCCTTTCGGCCCAAAGTCCTTTTTATTAATTAATTCCCAAAAAGGGAAAAAAATCCTCTAATTAATTGGAGTGATTCTTCTTTAGTGATTCCCACGAGTAAATAACCATCATGTATAGATCTTCCAGTGTTTTCTGTTTCTTTTTAATTTCTCACTTGGTTGGGGTAGGATGGCACTAATCGCTTTAAGCAAGAATTATTAAAAGATATTGATCACTATATATGCAACTCTCATATATAACCTTTGTTATTAATCCTTAGTAATCTTCATCGTGTTATAGAAGAACTAAAAGAATCGGGCTGATACACATGTGCGTGTAGTCCTACGTTAGTCAGTTGATAATTTGTTAGCGTTATGTGTAGTGAGATTATTAGAGTATCTAAAAATTATCGAATTAATTGCAGACTAAATGAGGAATCAGATTCCAAAATCTTGGTCCATGCTCTCTGCCAGTAAAAAGCAAAAGCAATAATGCAGTACAAGTGACAATAAGACAATTGCTTAAAGTGGACAATCATGTGGAAAAAAATCCCAGCATACAAACACTTGAATTGTCAATGTTTGTATACTGTTCATCTTAATGCATTGTATTTCTTCCAGTGTACGTAGTACTCTAATAATAATAATAATAATAATAATGAAAAAAAAGAGGAGAATATGAATCATATATAATGCAGAGAATGATTTCATGGTGTTGGAGTTATGAAAGGAGTTGAAGCTCTTGTCATCACTCATCATACGTTGTAGTTCTAGCCTCGACAATATTATTGTTAGCGATGATAACTTTTGGTCGTACAGGTCTTGGGTGGCGAATGTCACCGCCGCTGAAATAAAATTCATATTTTATGATTCAAGGTATATTTATTTTATCTTGGACCTTTTTCTCTGCAAATTGATTTTTGTTTCGAAATGTTAATTAATAGCTAGACAATTATATTCATTTTACATAACAGAAATGTCCAGGAGAAAGAACTGAGGTTTTTATGGAAAGAATTTCATCAGAATTAAAAGAAGCGAGAAAAATCAAAGAACATTAGTACGGGTCCCATGTAATGAAGCGCCGTGTTAATTACGAAGAGCAACTAGTCAAGGTTTAGACTTACCAAGTGGCATTAAATTTTCCAACTGAGTTTTCTGGGGGTAAAGAATAATTCCCTTCTCGTATCACGTTGATCTCTTTCTCAGCCACCTCCCTGTACCTTTCCCGGAAAGAGCATCAACAAAAGAATGAACGTAACTATTCTTGGATGAAAACCATGAAATTAAAACAAATTATTGAGAGACTGTGATCATAGAAATTCATCCGTCCAGTGAGTTTACTTTCGGTCTAAGAATGGGCCCGCACAAGTGTGTGTGTGTATTGCAAATTGCAGGCATATAATTGCAATGTATGCACGAACTCGTACATAATAATAATATCATGTCACACACACATACACACACAGGCTCTTCAAATACTATTCTCGTCCGTAAACATACGGGGGGATTGAAAATTGAATTTGGAAATTGCAAGAAGTAGCCATCCATCACCGTTGATTCTTAATCTGTGTGCAAAATTCATTGAACCCCACATGGATGTTCATGGCATTTGGCGATATTGTGACTGGGGAAAATGACGCCTTTACTATACATAAGCAGGCAAGGCCTTGTGCGCCACCAGATCCTAAATCCAGAGCTACCACTTTTGACTAAGCAGTGGTTAGATTCTCAGAGGCCGTTTTATTTGGTATTCAAGAATAGAAGGCAGCTCCTATGTATTTTTGAGCTTCTTTTGAAAGCATCAGCCTTAATTGATTAAATGCCACTATCTTAGTAATCTAGCTTTGTCAGTAACTATAATGCCTTTTCTTTATCTGGGAGGGGGTATTGTGATGATGTTCCAAAGCTCCATAATCATGCACCCCATCCCATCCCATCAGAATTGTATTTTATTACTGTATATCATACTGTGTTTAACCCATTTCACTTTAGTGGTTGGGTGGATAAGAATCGATCCGGTGCGACTTAATGACGTCAGAAGGTTGAATTATAGCATCATTGAAGTTATTAAAAATGAAATATTTATAAATTCAAGTTGGCAAGAAAAAAATTACACATACATATATAAATGCACTTGGTACTGATTTTATGATGTGTGCTTCAATTGTAAGTTGGAGTAGGCCCATGTATTTTGTATAAAATTCTATATTTTATATTGTTGAAGTGTGTATGTTTGATGTGTTATATTATTGATGATTATTTTACTATCATATATCTCTAACCATCTTAAATGAAAAATCTGTTCAGACAAATTCATGGGTAAGTTAATATATCATATATACGAAATAAGTATTATAGTATTTTGCTATAGAATTATTCCCCAAAAAAAATATTTCAATGAAAAGTCATCTACATATTAACTACCTGGCACTACTGTGATCTAACAATGAGAAAATTTCAAGAATTCGGCAGATTGAAAATTGAGCAATATTAGATTCTTTCTTTTTATCTTTAACGAAGTTTGTTAGTCTTCACAATATGCTTCCAAAAACATCTTATAAACTGAAAAGGGAAAAAAGAGTATATCATTCTTTAAGATGTTTGAGAAAATATCTTAAGATGCTAATGTGAGATACACAAGGCTTTTGAATGAAGAAAACTCAAAAATAAAATAAATAATTTTTTACAGTAGATTCTTTCTGGTGATGCTTCTTCTCTCTTTACATCCGCAAATCATTTTTTTTATCCCCTTTCTCTCTCTTCTTGATAAAAATTAAATAAAAATAAAATTAAAAAACAAACATTAAATATATTACAAATGACTTATATTTAGGATTAAATTTTTTTCATAAATAATTTATATTTAAGATGAGAATAGTACTTTACTACTCCATCCCTTATTATAAGATCCTTTTAACTAAATTGTATGGTTTAAAAAAACAGTTAAAATTAGTTAAAAACAATTAATATGTAGCAAATGTAATTGTTTTTCCAAATATATCCCTATATGTAAATGGGTAAATGTGAAAAGGTAATAGTAAGATAAATGAATAAAGAGAATGTATTAAACGCATTAAACTAGGAGCAAAATAGGTAATAATGTATTAAATGTTCAGATAAACTCAAAAAAAATCTTATAAAAAAGGACAAACCAATTAAAAAAACAGATCTTATAATAATGGATAGAGAGAGTACGTTAGAAATGGAAGACAGGATGGGTTGTTTGGTTGTCATGAACATTGAGGAATGGCCATATTAATGGTGTGGAACCAACCACCGTTTTTAACCTATCCTTAATCCCAATCTTCACTTTCCGATGAAATCTCAAAAGACCAACATACTTCTAACATGTCTCATTCTCCGAAAACCCACGAGCACCCCCCCAATCCATTTCCTTATTTAATTACATGTTTACTTTGCCCAATGCACGCTTTAGATTGCTTGGTCCCCCACTTCCCCAACTATATTCAATAAAATAAGTACTATTAAGTTGATAGCCACTACTAATAAGAAAAGCAAGATAAAGAATCACTCATGTCCGATATTTTAATTTTTCCACAGAATAAAGGAAAAATACTGGGGGCATCTTTAAACACACCATTTTGTGGCCTTCAATTAGTGAATAAAAACGATCAATCAATTAATACCCATTTGGTAAGATGCGCATACAACAGGACCCACTCACAATACTGAGCAATCATTACGCAGAGAGCTCTACATCTCTTCTTTCTTTCTTTTTTCCTGCCAATATCTGTCGCTCGATGGGAAGTAAGGCCTACTTAATCAATGACATGTAGCACTTGCTCATCCCTTCATTCCAGTTTATGCTATGAAATGACACATATAATTAAATTAAATTAGTCAATTAATTATGGGAAAAGGTGAGGGAACAAGAGCATGACGAAGCATCATCCTTTTGGTTATTTGGGTCACAGAATCAAGAGGTGGTGGGGAGAATAAATTTAGTGAGGAGATTACATATGTGGCCTAAAAAGACTAACTCTGTATGATAGAAAATTACGAAGCACACAAGTGAAAGCAGCTGCATTATCATTCCTATTCGCTCTTTTTGGAAGATTCAACAGAAGAGTACAAATCTAGGAACGACAAAACTGCAAATTTCAATATAACTGAGAGTGCAAGAGGAAGAACAGATTCAGAAGCTCGAGGAAGAAAATAAGGAAAGAAGAGGCCAATGAACACTCAATTCAGATGGGGGAGAAGTGCATGAATCAGGATGGGAAATTCCAGTCATTCAAACCTTGCATGACCCAGAAAATCTTAATCTCAATTAAACATCAAAATCCCACCTCTCTTCTACCTCATTCCATGGGTTCTTGCTCTAATAACTATATAACCAATTTAATAATCAAAATTAACGTGATGAATGCTCTTGGAGTGTTGATCGTAGTGCCAGCTTTGAAATTGCACATATAAAAAGAACAAGGAAAAAAGAAGAAGAAGAATTTCACTTTGTGCGTGTCTGACCCGGTTAATAATATATCTCGCGCCCCTGTTTTCATATCCCTGGATATTACTTGTATATTAATTAACTGTCTTCTTCCTCGCGGGTAGTTATTTGTTTTCCATTAGAAATTCATTGTCTCTGTCCTCCCTTCGCCTCTCTTCCTTTCTGCGAATTTGAACAAAGAAAATAGCATATTACCAATCATCCTTTCCCCTCCGTAGGAAACACCCATCATTGCCCCCAACAATCCTTTTCAACCTTAGAAACCTGTGCTTCTAAGATATTCTCTCCCTTCCATTCTTCCATTCTTTTTCACTTTTCTTGTTCTGCTTCCTTGTGCCCCTCTCTCTCAATTTAAATATCTCCCCTCCTCGCATCCTTTTCTCCTCCCTTCTCCTGCTCCTCCTTCGCCTACTCCTTACCCTCCTCGCTTCTCCACACTTTTCTTTCTTTTTATTCAAACCCTTTTTCCTTCTTTTTCTTTTTTTTTTTTCCTATTTAATTCACATAACTCTTAGACTTATAATGGATCCCTCCTCAACCAACTCTGTTAATGGCTTCTACTCCTTTCTCACCAGAGGACTTGACGATCTCGAACGAGTCTACCTCTCCAATAACTTCATGTCAATCCAATTCCTTCAGAGGGTGCTCTCACTCCTGCGATCCTTCCACACCCAGTTGACCCTTCTCGTCCAGAAGCTCCATCTACCTGTGGGTGATAAGTGGCTCGACGAGTACATGGACGAAAGCTCCAAACTCTGGGAAGCCTGCCATGTCCTCAAGTCTGGCATTTCTGGAATCGAAAATTACTACTCTGCTGGCTTCAACATCACTTCCTCCATAGATTCTCATCGTCACCTAACCCCACAACTCTCTCGCCAGGTCAGGTCGATCACAATTCTTTGTTTTTTCACCGCATAGATTAAAACAAACGATCAAAGAGACCTGGAGTAGAGATTTCGTTTTGAGTCATTGAGGTTTTCTCTGTTACCAGGTAATTAGAGCAATCTCAGGGTGTCGCAGAGAAGCGGTGGGACTGGAGGAAGAGAATCGAGCTTTAATGGAAACGAGAATTCAACCTCTCTCTCTGCGTTTCGACGAGAGGGTGGCGATCGAATCGAAGCTGAACGGATTCAATGGGTTCAGGGGAGTCCTATACGCAATGAGAAATGTGAGCTCGTTGCTGCTCATGATTCTGCTATACGGCTCCGTGTACTGCTGGCCGGAATCGTCAAATTTCGTACTAGGAGGATACGAAGGCTGCTTGTTCTTCGGATCGGCGTTCATGATCTCGACGGCGAGATTACAGCAGCGGGTAGCAGGGGAGATCGGCCAGATCGACGGGGCGCCGGGAATTCTGTTGTACGAGTTCAGGAGATCGAAGATGGCGATGGAGGAGCTAAGAGGAGAATTAGAGAGAAGGGTATCGCAGGGGATGGTGGTCGAGTGGGAAACAGAGAGCGGAATCAGAGAGAGAGTGGAGAATTTGAGAGGGTGTTTCGGGATTCTGAGATCTGGAGCAGAGAACATTATTGGCCAGCTCGACGATTTCTTTGATGAGATTGTTGAAGGCCGGAAGAAGCTTTTGGACTTTTGCAGCAATAGGTAAACAAATATGAGTGCGTGGTGGAGGAAATAACTCTTTAAACCAAAAAGAAAGAAAAAAAAGAGGGAAATAGAAGCCACCGCAAGTAGAGAAATCAAGTAGTTGGGGCTGGAGTTAATGTACTCTTAAACCTATTAGTTTGTTTTTTCTTTTTCATCTCTCTTGTGGTCTGTCTCTGCCACTTTTTTATTTGTTTTTTAACAGTTACCACAGATGAAACTTCGGTGCCAATTATTTCCTGCAGAAGGCAACGAGGAAGATTTTCAAACTGAATGTCGGCTCTAGGTTCCAGAACAAAATTGACGATATATCAATATTATTTTGCAGGAGGGCTTAATTTTATGCGCTATATTGTATTGTAATGTTTAAAAAAAAAAAGTTTCATCAAAAGAAAAATGATGGGAATAGAGTAAGCGCATTAATGTTGTCTGTCATGGGAAGGTAAACAGTAAACAGGGGCGTATCAGGTGAATTTTAAAATACGTAGTAAATCTTTTTTCTTGGGCATCGATGATCTTCATCTTCGTGTAGAGCAATAAAAAGTGCCCGTGAGTTGTTATAGTAAAAGGACTAATCATTTTAGTCCGAAAAGAATAATGCAAAAGGAGGCCAAGGAATGTGAGAGGGGAGGGAGCACTGTACTGTGAGATTCCTGGACTAACTTGCTTTAACGTCAAAGGCATCTGCTTTTGCTCTTAGGAAGCTTTTGTCTGATTCGATTCACTTTGAAAGCAATGGAGATGATGATTACGATGATGAAAACCAAAGCTCCTCAACACAACCCCCCCCCTTCCTTGACATGTCTGATCCATCTCTCGTTCTCTCTACCCTCCCCCACGTACTTAATGTTCCTCTGCCTCCAAATTCCCACTTCTTTACTTCCCAGCCTTTTCCCTAGGTTTCGAGGATGTCTAGTAACACTAATGTGTGTGTGAGAAAGAGAAAAGAAAATGAAGGTCTTTTTTTTTTTGTGCTGGGGCTGTCAGTCTCATTCCAACTGAAACCGTAGCCCATCGTTTTTGTCCCTTGCCGGAAATTCATGGGTTGCCTCCTTAAAAGGCTTCCATACAAGTGCTGCTTTCAAACCCAAAAAAATAAAATAGTATTATTTTCAGTCTTATTTATAAAATCTTATTTATAAATTATAAACATGTTTTATAATTAGAGCTGAAAGTAGTAATATGGAAACAGCAAACGCGGACTGAACAAAATAGGGGTAAATACATTGCAATCCAGAATGGCAAAAATGGATTCAGCATACCTTGAAAACGTGACATGGCCATTCCACGGCGACAGCTCATTGGACGCCCTTCCTCGATCATGCTAAATAACTTTGGTACCGTTGGATTGTAAGATGCTATACCTAACCCTCTGCACGAAAATTTAGTTGTCGGCTTATAGCCCAGTGACTATAGTTTTTGGCACCCCAGATCGAAGTCATATACGGTGGGGAGTGCTGGATAATCGAGTTCAAGACGTTTTCAAGTTTATGTTATAAGATTCGTCACAGAACTAAGAAAATAACTTTTTCTTTTTTAAGTTCTAAGACATACCCATGATCATAATTTTACAAGAAACTAATCAGAATTACAAATAATATAAAAATTGGCTATAAGCCATCCTTTTCCCACCACGGTATGATTTAGGGAAGAATCTTGCATAAACACGGCGGCAAAAGTGCAATATTGTCACGACCCAACAGGCGGTTGGTGAATGATGTGAGGGTGTGAGTGACAACAATACATTCGAATTTCTGGCTCCCAGTCGCATAGAAGTTTGAGCCTAGAGAGGCTTCCTAGAGTGAAGATAAACAGAAACGAAGGAATCTGCGAGCAAAACGTGGCAAGCCAAGACGATAATTGGGATATAAACAGTCAGGTTCCAATCAAATGTCAAATCCTGACATTTCAAAACTGGGCCGGGAAGGGCCGGGGAAGCAGATGCCTCCTGCCTCCACCCAGTTCCTCATGGGGGCTTCAGCTCATCAATATCTTCATGATCAGAACGCATCAAAAACGAAGTATCAAACTGAACCGCGGAGGCTTCTGTAGCCTGGGTTTTGTCGAAGCACTAGTCCGCTGACAAAAAAAAATTCAAAATATAAACTAAATTTTATCTATTTATATTTATTAAGAAATTAGTTAAAATCATTTTAAAACAATAAATATATAAGGCGTTTATTTTTTTTAAATATGCAATTATTAATAAAAAAATAAGTAAAATATACAATAAATAAATAAAAAAATAAAAATAGATATAAGAGTAAAGTTGAAAAAAACTCATTAAATACTTAGACAAAAATAAATATTATCTTATAAAAAAACCAAGCTCTTCTAATAAAATTTAGCTTATATCTTGAATCGGAAGGAGTACTTAATTGGCATGTGTTCTACAAGTAAATGAGCCAACTTTGCTAGAATATTGATAATAAGTATATTAAGAATGATTTATAAATAACTTTTTTATTATGACTTACAACGTAAATATATAAAAAAAATTTGTCTCGATTTATATAAAATAGGATTATAAATAATTTTGAATACAATCCCAAATAAGCCCTTAAATGCGGGGTGTAATTTGATAGGAGGAAAAGTAGAGAACAGGGGATGCCTGTAGAACTATTTTGGAACTGTTTGGCCAATTGTCTCCATGGTAACGATCTAGATTCCCGAAAGATCCAAATTGCCGTTAGCACGCGAATATTTCAGATGCTTAAATTTTTTAACAAACTCCTCAGAGTTATTGTTTTATGTATGGGTTAATTTCATCCGGTCACATCTATATTTTATATTGAAATATTAGAGACGTATAATCGCCACCTAAACGATTTTAACCTTTAGCCCCCCCTTCAAAAAAAAAAAAAACAGAAAACAGCATATTAAACTAGCTGCATGTATCAACACCACATATAGGGACAGTCGTGAAACTTCTGGATTCCGGATATAGTACTACTACTACGACACCAACGGGTAATCAGTTTCCAGCCTGCCTGCACAAAAGGCAAACTACATTATGCAAGAATTCATTGAACATGAAAATTCATATCATAATGATGCTGCTGCCTTAAACATGCAGACCAACTCAAGCTAACCAGCATTTGAGGTGTAATATTATAAAGTCACTTTCTGCGAGGAGTTACATCTCGTCATTCTTATTTCAGTGGATATGATAGATTAATCACGCCATAAAACTTAATCAATGGCTAACAAGCAAAATAAAGCAATGTTACGTCCTATTTCAATTTCACACTAACCAGCAAACGGGTAGACAATGAACAGTCAAGGTATTATAATCAAGACATAGACAGTAATATTTCCACTTCATTATGAAGCGCAAAATGCACCAGTTTTTAACCTTTATGAGCGTGGATCCCCTATGATGCTCTATCGGGACCTTAAAAAAATTCCTTTGTTAAAAAAAAAAAAAAAGGCTCTCCCCTGCATTTTTTTTTTTCCGGGTAGGGTGGGCTAAGTTCAAAGACAAAGTTCAACATTAAGAATAACAACCAATAATTGCAAGACTCATTGTTAAAGGAAAAGAAAATCCACCAAAAAGAAGAGCATCATAAACTACTAAGCGCTTAATGGGGTAAAATAAATCAACAATATCAATCGATTTGTAAGAATACAACGGTATCAAAATTAATCTACTACTTAAATGGAACAAACCCCTCCATGAATTGTTTCACGCTCAGATAAATTTGAGATTGTTCAATAAATGCCATAAAGTTTTAACATTTGAATCATTTGTAACTATGAGTGCAATCCACTAAGATGTGAAAATACCTTACAGCTACGTATCTGCATGACGGACAGAAATATACTAAACTAGTGATGTTTTTTGGCATCGAATATCAAGCTTGTTGACCAATTTTGAGCAAGTTGAATAATCCAGCGGCTTGTCAGTACATTCAGATGCATTGCAAGCCTTATTTCCAGTGCAATCAGTACCATGCAAGCCACTTTCGACAGGCGGGTTCATTTGAATTATCTTACCAAATAGCTGAAATGAACCAGCACCAATTGTTGAGTTGCAGCAAGCGGTACCAACAAACTCTCCACCAATGGAGTGGATTCTCCTCTGGCTATCTGGTGATAATGGACCAGATTGAGAGCTGTCAATGTGTAAATCTGTTGACACAGTTTTCAACTTCGGCACTTTCACATGAGAACTAGCAGCACAATAACGAGTATTATGATCTAGGAAGTTTGAAAATCTCAAAACGGAAGATAGATCATGCCTGGCTCCCTGCATGCCAGCAGGAAAAGTATTGTCCTTCAACAATGAGTGATTCAAGTGTCCCATTGTTGAGTTAGTGAGTTTCATCGTAGTAAATGACGGGTCTTCCTCTCTATCAATTGGCAACCCACCATGCTTAGCGCCTTTAAACTTCTTTGCTGGGGGAAAAACTGTGTGAAGAAGAGCTGCGGGGGAAATATGTTCAACCTGCCAGGGGCTGACTCGCTTTGCATTCTGTAACACTTCAGGCTCATCCCATGCAATCTTGTACGAAGGCATTAAAGAATGGGAAGAAGCAAATATTAGTCCACTGAGAAATAGATAACTTTCAGAACAATATCTTGCACGACCTGTGTGTGTGAAAAACAGCCGGGGGGTGGATAATCATTAGATTTCCTACATTATGATTGCTCACACGAAAATAGAAAATTAAATGGAAAAAGTAACACAATAATTTTTGTTTTTTGTGTTTTTTTGGGAGATTTGAAGTGACAAGCACAATAAAAAACAGAAGCAAGAAAATAAACAAGATGCATATTGGTCTTCTAACATCGAATTTTCTGTTAATGCCATTTATCTTTGGAATTTTGAACAAGAAATAAATAAATAAATATCAAAGTTAAGCTTGATAATTTCAGTCATGAACACAATGCGCATTTTATGTCCCTAAAAATAAGAAAAATAGAAACTAAGAAAATTTCTCAAGAGAATCAGCAACATTCCGATTTTATAAATTAGAGAACTGTGACCATATCATAAACCAGAAGATAAAAGCTCAATCACTATTCAGGAATCACCCAACTTCTTCAGATGACCTTGAATGGGAAAACGAGAGACAGAGCTTCTAGCATATGTCGCTACATTAGTTTAAAATCAGAACGTAAAATAACAAAGTAAGGCAACATGATATTGGTATATAATATATTTTCGTCCTTTTTTATCCTTCTCTTAAATATATTCAAATAAATAAAGAGTCCCATCTCTTCCATTCCACTGATCAAGGGCATCCTACCATTAGTTAACAATTTACGTGTTATAAAACAACTGCAAAAATTGTTCCAAACTAGATTTCTAAACACACACACACACTCAATTCTCTATCAATATTCCAAATACAATAAAATCTATAGCAAGCTGCCCGGGCATGGGAAAACATATCTAGTTATGAAAAAGAAAAGTGATGGATGTAATGACAAAATGTGAGAGGCCTTTGAAATGGTAATCATATTTATCATTGGCCATTTCTCTTCTGTCAAATACTCTCAACTTTAAACCCAGAACTATCCAAGTACAGTGTTAGTGTACATGCCTTAAATCTCTAGAAAAAGCACAATATGAGCTTCAACAAAGAGGTACTAATTCTTGGGAGGAAAAGCCACTGAAAGTGATATATAGCAAGATCAGCGTTTAAAGTGTTCAATTAGAGAGTAATCATAGATACAGAATAAATAAATTTGTTTTCGCCAAAGATGATATCCCAACTCATCCTAAATCATACAAAGACACAAGAAAAAACAGAGCAAATTCAAATGCATCCAATCCAGAATTCAAAAGATTGCCAAGGAAGTAAAATCAAGTAGTCGCAAATCGTTCAATTCGAGTAATTTGCTATTTCTCATCGATGGCATCATTGGTAGATAAGATTTTACCAATAGTAAAAAGTGGGTTTTAAATCCCCTTTACTCTCAAATAACCCCTTAGCTCTTAGAAGTTAAATTAAAACCCATGCCCCGTGCAATCAAAGAGTTTAAAACATTTGGTATGTGTATTTCAATTTCCATGCACAATTTTCAGCTCCTCAATGTCCATCTGAATTTGAATCTCGCACATTACAAAGCTCTCATATAGGCTATCAGCTGCAATATTTGCCAGACCACTTAAATAAATCCACAATTTCAGTAGGCAACTATCGCCAAGCAAACTATATATTAAGAAGTGAAAAGGGGCTGCAAACACACCTGAAGCATGCGCCAAGGAGAATCCGACCAATGCCCATGACCAAGAGAAGCAGATACCGAATAGACGGTCCCGTGAAACCAGGTCATTCTGGACGAATCTTCTGTCTCCATAGCCATTTTGACTCTCATTCCAGGAGTCCATCTGACTCTTAACGCTTCCTCCACAACCTCCGCCTTCAACACAAAGTCCGACGACCCAGGCCTAGGATAATGAACAACCACGAACGGCTTATTTTGTGCTGCCGATTCTGCTGCCTCCGCAGCTGCCTTGGCGGACAACTTTCCCCTCCCATTCCTCGAGAATTCTCCGAAGCCAGTGTAGCAATCTTCCTGCTGCTCCTCGTCAAGTTCAACCTTAGTTTTCATGCCACCGATATCGGTGCAACTTCCGGCCCAATTGCCACGATTTCCAACACTGAATCGCAGAGCTCTGCGAACCCCGATGAACATTTTCCCCGCGGAATTCTTCATGAAAACCACGGAGTCACCAGCAATCAACTTCTTGTGATTGACAAACTTGTTCCACCCAGTAGTGAGCAAGTGCCGCTTAGGTGTCCCTCGATAAATGTGACGAAACTCCCAGAGGATGCCGTGAACGTCAGTGAAAGGCAATGTCTGGTTCGGCCGATCAGATTGTAAATTCAATGGCGGGAAGATGGAATCAGCACAGAACCTCGGAACAGAGAATCCACCGCCGTTGTTGGCATCAGAAGGCGTCAGAACCTTGGCAAACGACCCAACATTGTCATCGCCCTGTGCTTCTGCGGACTCGCCGGTGGGATGAGAGTGGTCGCGGGTTGTGTCAAAATCACTGAGTGGATGGAGGACAAGCTTGGCAAAGACCTCGTCTGTAACAGGGTCAGCGAGAAATTCAACCCAGGAGACGCGGCAGTGAATGAAGGGCTTGGACAGGAGAAAGGGGGAGAGGGAGGAAGGAGCCGAGCAGGCTTGCTCCAAATGGCCTTGAGGGAAGTAATAAACCCTGGAATTCAGGGTAGGGATTTGAACGGAAGTGCCGGCGCATGCTCGCCAAATTTTTTGGGGAAGACGGCAAGGATGCGACGGCGGTGGCCGAGACGGTGGGAGAGGCATGCTTCAGGTGTTCAGAGAATAAGAGATGCGAGTGGATATGTTGCCTTGCCTCTGTCTCAATTCTGTTTTGGAAGCAAGATTGAACGGTTAATGAAGGGGTTGTGATTTAGACAGCGGGTGGAAATGAGTCTGTGGGCATGAGAATTTGAAAACCGGCCGGTCCCATTCATTCGCGCTAACGCTTATGAAAGAGAGGGTGAGAATGAACATTGATAAAGAGAATCGGTACGAACACGAAACCCGGGTGCCATTTTTTTCCTTTTGGATGGATGAAAGGGCGGGCAATGTTTTTGGCGCAAAAAGAATGGAGTGAAACCCATTGTTCGCTACTGAGGCCCATTAGGACAGATAATGATATTTCGGCCTCTCCGATGACAACTAAAGATGAGCTTGTCAAAAATCCACATACGGTGCCGTTAATTTAATACTCACCTTTAGTGGTTAATTGTAAGGCAATTTAAAATTTTATTTTAAGAATAAAATATACTAACTATTCTCTTATTTTACCTAAATTACATAAATTTCATTTTTATTTTAAAAACATATATAAATCTTTTTAAAAATTAAAATATACGTTACACAAATCTTTCTTATACAATTAAAAATCGATTGCTTGCTTTCTCATCAAGTAATTAGGAAGTATCCCGACCGCACGCCCTCGGTATTACATACTAAAATCGGTATATTGATTGCTACCAAATGTAATCACTTATCACAACATGGGGGTGAACATTTGGCTTTTTTTTTAAAACTGCAAAAACTGAAAAATCGAATATCATGCAATTTTAAGACTGAATGGAAACCGAAACATATTAAATAACCAAACCGAACAAGTCAAATTATCTGGGTTCCATTTTTTTTACCGGTTTCGGTTTAGTTTGGTTTGGACTCTTTTATTAGGTCTACTTGTTGTAAACCTGTTTGATGCAAAAATTCAAGCTAAAACATAATTTTACATAGTATTTCATATTGTTTTGAGCATAAAAAGAAGTTTGAACTGAAAATAAAAAAAATTATTACAAGAAGGAGGATAACTCCGTGTACAAAAAAGACAACACCACAAAATAGTTATAAGCGAAAAAAAGGTAGCACACCTCATATCCTATTTATAAGTTACTTTTATCATATTTTATACATACTAAAAAAAACCTACACTTTGTTAACTCTTATTTAAAATTTAATAACTTTTTGACTTTATTTCTATTTAGTATACATTATATCCTATTGGGACAAAGTTAACACAATATTAAATAGAAAGTAAATTTGTATATTCATATGAAAATTTTTTCTCTCTATTTTATAAATAGGATAAAAAATTATATCTCTTAGTGCTTTGGTCTTCTTATTTGCCGAGCATTTCCATCATGTTCTATATTGCTAATAAGTAACAAAAATCCTAAACTTTTTTAAATACCACTCCGATTTTTAGTATAAGTTATTTGCAATATATTCTCGCATATTAAAAAAGATTTTAAAATTTATCAAGATATTTATTTTAAAAATTTAATGATATAACTTATATAGGGTCCGTTTGGCAAGGCTTATTTGGGCTTAAAAGCTGTTTTTTTTACTTATAAGCCCGATTGGCTGATCTGGTTGTGTTTGGCTGGGTTTAAAAAAATAAGCAACTTATATCCTTTAAGCTGCAAAACGTGCGGTCTGAGATAAGCTGAAATTTGTGGCTTATTGCGTTATTGTAGAAGCTTATTTTTGACTGTTGAATAGGGGGATCATTTTCATGCCGGGGCCTCATTTTTCTCACTCAGTTTTTTTCTTCCAACACTGCTCTCTGCGCGACCGCGAGCTCCAACCCAGCGTCCGCCGTCACGTCCTCGCTAGAACCACCCACACCTGGTCGTCGTTAGCTCCATCGTGTCTCCGCCGTGGGGTCATCGTCTTCGGTGTGGCTTTGAGTGACTGAGAGGTTGGTCCTTCATCGCGTCTCGTCCTTCTCCAAGCTGCTGTTAGCGTCTCCAACCCAGGTCGCCACTGTCTGCCGGTGCATGTGAGGTGTGCTTCGACTTCTTAGCCTCCCAGTGGAATAGAGTGTCCGATCTACCTCTGGCAAGCGTCGGTTGGTCCGATCTGAGACAGGTTGGCCGGTTCCTATTTTTGTGTTGCTTTTCCGAGAATTTGGCAGTGATAGGCGAGTGATCGAATCATGTGGAGTTGTATGTGTGTGTGTTGATCTTTGTGTGAGCTGATATAACTTTTGGATGAGGGGATTCACAAAAAAGCTATGAAAATGCCGATGGCTTTGCGACTTGTGAGGGAGAGGAATATAAATTTTAATCCTTGAAACTTATTCGTCTTCAATGATCTGGATATTGCAGCAATTGCAAGATGGAGAAGTTTTTGATTTAATATGAACTAATCCTGTCAAGTTGGCTTTTATCCGTATAAAGAACACTTTCGAGACCAAATGTATCAAATCTGCGTGCTCTGGTGATGTTTGTCATGGGCGCAACTTTTTTTTTGACTTTGTGTTCATTTAAATTGGGGTTGGACTATTGGGAATGGGAAAGAAGAACCAGAATAAACAAATCTCCTGAATGGCACTTTGTTCTAATCCGCTGTGGCTGTTATATGAATGATTAGTTATTATTAATTCTTCCCTCTTTTTTCTTGCAAATTTAATTATTGTCCAGATAATATATGTGGAAGAGAAAGGGATAAAGTGGGCATATTTTAATATTTTGGTTAATTGAATATATACTCCCATTAACTATAGTAATGACCCCACAAAATGCTTCATCATTAAATTTTACTTCATCATTATATTATCTCAATTCAAGTTTTTTCTTCTTTCACTTTATATTTAAAATAATTTTTTTGATTTCTCTAAATTTTTAAAATTTAATTCACTTATTCATATTAAATTATTTTAATTCCATTGTAGTATGTGAAATTATTTTTTTCCCATTTTTTATTATTTATTATAACTCATACCCATTTTGGTCATTTTACAACCAAACTTACTTTTACTCAATCATAATCCAAACAACTTTTTACCAATCTCACTTTTGCAAACGGGCTTTTCTGAACTCCAATCCAAACACAATTCAGCTTATCCAATTTAGCTTTTACCCCACTTCACTTATCCATAAGCTGCTTTTTCAATAAGCAGCTTTTCTAATCGCTCATCTAAACGGACACATAATGGCTGAATAGAACTTTTGCCGCATCCTATAAATATAAATAGGATAGAAGCATATGGGAGAATGGAAGGCAACGAGAAAGGCCTCCAGCTGCTGGTATGATTGCGAAGCATGTGCCCCCGATCGGTCCCTTCAAATCTCGTGCCGTGCTGCCCTCCCTTTATCGCAACGTATGAGCCGCCATTACGCTAGATCAGCCCCTGTTACGCTGGGAGTGGTCGTGGCTTCAAATTCTCATGACACGTGTAGCGTTTGGGAGTGCCTCAAATTGGGCCTGGGTTCGAATTCATGTCTCCTAAGTGCCGCCTAAATCATGCACTTTAGCCCATACACTGTGTAACGCACCGCTCATGTTTTGCCCAAAATGCACAAAGGTTCGCTGCCCAGAACTGTCCAAAGGTGTCCACAAAAGTTTTGGGTAAGTCTGGAACTCTCTAGAAATGTGTGGAACTTGTTGGGGAAGCTTGGAGGGTTCCAGAATACTATAGATAATTGTAGAGACACCTAACCCCTTTGTAAATATCTAGATATTTTTGTAGAGTATTCTAGATACAACATTGTAACCGTTGGATCAAGTAGATCTTAGCCGTCCATTGAGGAGGTGGAGAACTATAAATACCCCTCCCCCTCATTCATTTCTCACACTCAAGAAAGTGAGAGTGTTGTAAGTACTTTAAGAGATCAATACAAAGTTCTTTCTTTGAGTCTCCTGTTCCTTCGTGAGTAGGCTGACTAGCAACTTAGAGCAAGGGGTTTGCTAGGCCGCACGGTTCGTTGGAATTACGACCAAGTCCGTGACAGTTGGTATCAGAGCCAAGGTTTGAAGACCGTTGGAACATAGAGGTAGATGGAAGGCGGAAGCGAGACTATCAATATGTCTGAGGGAGTCAAGAAGAAATCTAAAGCCCAGAGATCTAGTTCAAGGGAAACCATGGAGGGTTTTGAGACACGGCTAGCCAAGGTGGAGATTGCAATAGTCGACGGGGAGGAGAAGTTCGAGGAGATGGGGCAAAACATGGACGAGTTCCGTGAGGAGATGCAAGCCGCCATGAACAAAGTCCTCGCCCAATGTCTCGACAACATGAAGGCCATGGAAGAGTCTCATAGGGAGGAGGTTTCTTCGATCCGTGAAGAACTCGAGAGGGTCTCGCGCAAGTTGGAGAGTGCCGAAGAGGAGCTCATCTTGTGCAAGAAGGCTCTTGCACAAGGAAGTCCGTCAACGTCTGATGTAAGGACTACATCCTCTAAAGTAGATGTTCCACGACCTAAGGCTTTCAAAGGGACAAGAAATGCGAAGGAACTAGATAATTTTCTATGGAGTATGGAGCAATACTTCCGAGCGAACGTCGTTACCGACGATGCACTTAAGGTTAGCACGGCATGTCTCTACCTCGAGGACACCGCTATGGTATGGTGGAGGAGGAGACAAGGGGACATAGAGAAAGGCACTTGCACCATAGACACTTGGGCTGAATTCAAGGGTGAGCTCAGGAAGCAATTTTATCCTAGCAATGTTGAAGAAGAGGCCAGGGGTAGGCTAAGGCGTCTTCAACACAAGGGAAGCATTCGCGAGTATGTGAAGGAATTCACCGAGGTACTACTTGAGATCCCTGACTATCCTGATAAAGAAGCTTTCTTTGCCTTTATGGATGGATTGCAACAGTGGGCTAAACTTGAGATCCAGAGACGTGGTGCTCAAGACTTGACCACCGCTATCTCCATTGCTGAGTCCCTTATTGAGTTCAAGAAACCCGAGAAGCCAAAGCTGAAAGACAAGGGCGGCAAGGGAAAGAGTGGGGGAGAGCATCACCGAGGCAAGGAGACCACGGACAAGTCGAAGGGTCCTAAGGAGTACAAAGCTGGAGAAAGGCCATCACTTAAATGCTTCTTTTGTGAAGGACCACATAAAGCAAGGGATTGCCCAAAGAAGGCTAAACTTTCGGCATTGATCGA